AGGAGCTCTTTTTTACTCTGCTGGCATTCAAATTACTAAACATTAGAACTGCAGGTACTAAAGGATACAGCAAAATACTGATACAAACCCCAAATACAAGTAAATAACTAACCACAGAGAGATCTCAAACATCAGTAAGTGGCGAATTTACTAAACCATGGCATGTTAAACAACAAACTACAAGTTTATTTTACCTGCTGTTGTTTCCTTTAAAGCAACATGACTTTTTGGTTTTGACTTTTCTTTTCCAGTTACTTACTTTTAGTACTAAGTTATCTACCAAAGCATTTCAATATAGCTACTCACGTAGCTAAAGGGGCCTTCATGTCCTTACTTTCACTTGCATACATCAGTGAGGAAAGCCCCTGTAGGCGGTCTCCAGGAAAACCCAGCAGGTTGATGATTTTGAGCAGGTTTGGGGGCACCATGGATATGCAAAGATGAAAAAGTCCATATCCAAAGCTAACAGCACCTTTCAGTCTGTTTAGCGAATCCTCCGTTACACCTTCTGCAGCAATATGATTATCATTTGCAGCATCAGAAGTCAAGGATTCCTGAGTTGTTTTCTTCTGATATATTTCCTGAAGTGTATTAATGTCCGTATAGCACTTATTATAAATTTTCCAGGCTTTGCGGAGTATCCACCCACCTTTTATGTATGCTAAAAATCAAGGAGAAAAAAAATACTTCAAGAACATATTTCAGAAGCAGAATATCATTATGTAGTAAACGCTATTTCACAAACCCAAGGATGCTCTATTTGCATTAACTTATTGTATGAAGGATTTTGTAGTAGCTACTGGCCTCTCAAATTGGTCCTGCACACTGGGCACTACAAACTTGAGTGCTTACACCAGCAGAGACTCCACAACAGAGTGCAACACAAAGGGACTTCCAGTCAGCCATGGAGCAGTACAACTGTCAGAAACAGAGAGAAGTCCAGGAACTTAATGCTGGATTTTGCTCCACTAGAGAGTGCAGATGAAATGGCTGCCTGGCAAACAGAGACAGGCAAAACTCAGAAGAGATTACACCTCTTCTCTAAAGCCCAAACAACGTTAAAAGACACTTGAGGGGAAAATACTAAGAGAAGCCTTTCCTTTGGGTTAGATAGTAAGATTTTCAACACCATCATTTCCCTGCCCCTCACATGAACACAGTGCCTTATAGTTAAGAAGAAGAAAACATGAGGGGCGGGGGGAAAGTGCATAAATTTTGTTTTTAAAATAATTTTCAGTTGTCTAACATCCTCAGTTCCAAATGTAATACCAGAGCCTGAATTTCTCTAAAATTTTGGTCTTGAGCATTCTCAGTTGAAAAATGAGAGAATTCTTGGTCTCATTACAATTTTTATAGGAGGGTAAAGAAAGGCCTGACATCGAAAGACGAAATGTCCCATTTATCTATTTACACAGCAATCATCTTGGTTATAAAAGCACATCCTTGGATAATGATAAGTGTTAAACAGGAAACAAACAGAGAACATCCTGTACACATTAATAAAAGCAGACATCAGCATTCTGTCTGTGATAGAGCCCTAAGAGTTAGGAACTGCAGTGACTAACTAAAAATAAAATGAAAACATGGTTATAGCAGCAATGTTCTAAACAAATATAACCAAACTTGCAGAAATCAGTGTTATAACTAGTGCCAGAATTAGATCATAACAGGTGGTGCGTGTCAAAGAAAAGAGAATTGCTATTAATACCAATCCATTCTTTACAAGCCTTTGATGCCTTTGACAAAAATCCTTCCAATCACAAAAGAATTCACATTTCTAGAGAATGTAACATCACAGCCTAGACTACCTCTTTTGGATTCTTGCTGTATGAGGAGGGGGATAAAGCTAGTTTGAGCCTTAAAATTAATTATACTGAGAAAGACTGTAAAATTTGTATTCTCAGTTGTGACAGATGGGTTCTGTTAACAGGAACTTCAAGTATTAAAGAAAATTAATCCTCTATCCTGAGATCCATATTAAAGCATTATAACAAAAAAAGTAAAACCCCTGCCATGACTCAACGGCACTACAAGACCAACACTACTTCATTTTTAAGCAATTAGGTCACTTTTTGCCTGCACAGAGTACTTCAAAAGTTATGTGGTTCACCACAAGATGAATGCTCATACAACTGCACAGCAATGCAGCACACCAGTAATAAGAACATCCCCACATTTTACTCATCCTACAGATAATGTTTCTGCTAACAGCTAACCATCATGTTTCAATGCAAGCATGAAATGGAAAGGATGCAATATGGGGGCAGGGGGAAGTACAGTTTTAGGCTTTACTTGCATCAGTGTGCTGCCATTAACAGTTCACTACCACAGCACAACCCTAATTAATTGATATACAAATATAAAACAATCTAACAAATTAAAACAATGAATTTCTGAATTTTTCAAACAAAAATTAACCAAGCCAGGTCAGTGAGCTGGTTTCCTAGCATGAAAGTAGTCAGACTCCTAATAGCAATGGTAGATACCAAGAAAAGGCGGTTCAGTATTGCTGTGGAAACCTAATGTAAATTGTTGTTACCAACTTTATGATGAAACTATTTCTAATACATCCGTGAGGGTGGAAAGAAAATACAAAATGTGTTAAGCACATGAGAAAGCAGCTTGTGTGTCATCATATGCTTCTTGTCAAACTGTTCCAGGAGGAAAAACATAAGACATTTTTTGCCCATCCACACATCAGAAATATTTGTCTGTCTTTCTTTTTCTTGAAATTACACTCATGTCAATAATCTGGTTGCTATTTCTGTACAGAACTATGACAAAAACAAAAGATGTTTCTACATAAACAAAAAGATAATACACTTCTGAAACTGAAATAATGGATCCAACAGTTCAGCAGCAGCAGCAGTAGTAACAAGTAGTCCCTGAGGTAGCATTTAGCTGCTTGGAAAGTAACTAAAGATTTCAGGTATATTTTTTGCTCAATAGAGTAACCCAAATGTAGTGCATGTTCTGCATTACTCTGCTACCCACTTCAGTTCTCTGAGCAGCAGACGAGAAAGGGAACAGACAGCACCCTCAGTTACAGCACCCAACCCAGTTATGCAGCTGCAGAATACATACTGAACTAAGGAAAGAAAAGCTTCAAGAGGGAAGGAAAAAACAACAACAACCACAAATGAAAACCCAGAACAGCATCAAAAATAGCAAGAAAACCTTTCTGCAGCACTACACACATAGCAGACAGAAATACCCCCTGGAATTCTGCTAGCTAGAGCTAAGCACATTCCTGGTGCCATACCTTGGAAGAAAACATATCTGCACATCACAGAAAGCATTATGTCCTTGACTGAAGATCTTAAGTGTTATTTTTAAATAATCTGAATGTTATTTTCCCTGATTCCTCATAGCTGCTCAGCAGGGAATCAGCACTGACAATCTGGTCTGTCTGCCATCTCTTAGTCTTCACTGGTTTGGCAAGAAACTGGGAATGTGCTTACACTCTGTGCATGACCTTGACCACATTGTCTATAAACTCGTGGATAAAAACATCAGGAAAGGAATGCAAGAGAACATTAGGAACATCTCTGCAGTCCAGCCGAGAGGTTCGTATTCAACACGACAGGATTAACCTCTTTGGCATGCAAGGATGCATTCTGGTGACTGGAGAGTAAGAACTGATTCAGCAGTTCCATCCTCAACACACTTCATTTAAAATTGCATTCACTGGCAGTTTGTCACCTCCCTGAATTTTCATGAGGAATGCAAGAGAACATTAGGAACATCTCTGCAGTCCAGCCGAGAGGTTCGTATTCAACACGACAGGATTAACCTCTTTGGCATGCAAGGATGCATTCTGGTGACTGGAGAGTAAGAACTGATTCAGCAGTTCCATCCTCAACACACTTCATTTAAAATTGCATTCACTGGCAGTTTGTCACCTCCCTGAATTTTCATGAATGGAATGCATATGGGACATCAGGATTTTCCCAGTGGTTTGTACCTAATGGCCAAAGCACACAGATGTTATGTATCCTCATACCAACTCCTCCTATGTCTCTATGAGAACATGCAAAGGACTCCAACCTAAGGAGAATCAGTCGAATATGATTATTGGCATGAAAAAGAGAAAAGCTGTTATCTGTAGCAATCCATCTCATCTCATACTATTACCTACACAAAGGTAGAGCAATACCTCTGCAAGTGTACCCATCTTGCAAAGTTTCAAAAGGAACTGTGCTCCTTCTTACAAAGCAATCATCTTTACTGACAGTCATAGTGTGACTTTATGAATAAGCTTTAGCAAAAAGGCATCATGCAAAAAACACATCTAAACATGAAAGCCACATCACACCTGATAATTCTTGTTTCACAAACGAGAGCACAGCCAAGTAGACTTGACAATCTGCTACAATTATTTGTCTCTGTAGACGATCTATCATGGATAGAGTGGATTTTCGTCCATCAACCTGTTTGGAATATACAAACACAGAGCACAGAAAAATATTAACAGAGATAATACACAATATTTGTCTAAATCTGAGAAATTTAAAAAATACAAAATTAACTACAAGTGGTAGTAGTGCTACTAAATTAACTCAGCATTTTGAAGTGCAAAACTGCTGAAAATTTCTTTGACAGGTCAAAATCCTGCTTAATAAACAGAGAAATCTGACACACATACTACCAGCTATTTTTCCTAAGATTCTACAAATAGAAGAGATTTAAATTTCCTTTAATTATTACTAAATGTGTCAGATATGAAATTAAAAGATGTCAGATAGGAAGAGCACATAAAGGGGTATAGGACAAGTGGCAAGGAAAACACAGTGTCTCTTAAGAGCAGAGAGGTTAAGTACATCAGGTTCAATACTTTTTACCAAATGAACAAAATAATGAAGAGAAATGGCTTCTTTTTCTGCTGTGGATCTGCTGTGTCACGCTAGGCAGGCTGCTCACTGGACATTTCTATACTACTTCAACTGATTCTCAATCTGCATGCTTTATTCTTCCTTCATTATTTAAAATGAAAAAACTAAAAAAGGAAGGAAAAGTCCCTAGGAATATGCCTGGCTCATAGCACTCTGCAGCCCCAGCGTGACAACTTTTGAACATTACTAGAGCATGTATGAATTAAAGTTAGCCTGAATTAGACAGGCTACAAGCTTCCTGACATGACATTAGTAGGTCACTCATTTGACATGTTAAGAGAACACCAATACAACCTGATGCTTTAGAAGAGGAATTACCTGAAACTATTTTGGAACAATAAAGAAATCCAAACAAAACATTTGACTTAACTTCCAAGTTTATTATTAATCTCAACTGCTCTTCACATGTCAAAAATCATCTATTTCAAAATCCAAAGAGGACAGAAAGGAAGTTTCCAGAAACATTTATCCAATACAAAAATCCATATTTTAGAAATTATGTTCTTACATTCTTTTTTATTTTATTCTTGATGGTTTCTATAACTCCAGCTTCTTCACTTTCACAAAGCTTCTCTGTAGCCTTTAAGTCATCACATGCCAGTTGCATTTTCTCTTCTTCAAACGTCATCATGGCATTCTACCAAAAAGCAGACAGGTTTGAATGATAAAAATCAAACATTTTTATTTCTGCAAAAGCTCCAGCATAGTAAAAGCTTTCATAAAAACTTGCCAATGCAACTTTTTTTTAACAGAAATATTAATACACACACATTGGTACGAACACTTCTAGCACAGAAACACCAAACTAGATATGTATTTAACAAAATTTCAATAGAAATAAGCACACACTAAGCCCTCAGCCCATCTTTTAAAGCTTCATATGCAGTCAAATTGAAGGCACAGCCATATTGCATTAAGCAGAAGAAAAATTCAAATAAATAAAATTTCAATTATTATTATGTAAGGCACAATTTGTATCTGTGCAGGTACTGCTTTTAGGTGCTTCATTCATATAAACAAGAGGCCTCTGAAGTCAGTAATAAGTAACAGCTATTAAATTTTTCAAAATAATAACCACAGTTCCTATAGAGGTAGGAAGAGAAAGAAACTGCATCTGACTCCAACTACTGCTGAATCAACTGAGAAAAAATTTCAGGACAAGTAACTTCTTTTCCTGGAGCTTTATTAAACGAAAGCTCTGAATGACACAGGCACACCAAGTGCTGATGCTATGTTTAGAACAGTAGCTAAGCAAGACATTTTCAAGATCCTCTGATGCTGCACTGTGATGTTGCACTGGTTCGGTGCACCA